TCTTTCCCTCCTGATAAAAATGCTTTTGTCTGGCAGTTTACTAGCATAGACATTTTTCTGTTTATTACACTTTTACCATTCATGACAAAATTATACATCAGTTCAAAAGCAGCTAGTCAAAACAAGAGGCAAGAAAATCCATCAGGAACTAGTAAACGCAGAGGTACTCTCTCTCAAAGGCCCTGTGGGGTAGAATGTCAAAAGCTGGGAATTGCCAGTATTTTCTGTTGCCCAGTATTGCTCTTCTCATGCTTTGCCCGGGCACCTGCTGTTGATCGGTGTCCAAGATGGGACACCTGGAACCTGCCTATGAAGCATTGGTCTGATTGCAGCAGGCAAGAGTGAAAACAGATGAAAATGACAATTTTTTTAAAAGTTAATTTATAACTTTGATACAAAACATTGGAAATATCCACTAGCACTTATTTAATAGGGTCTTTGGCGGGGGGCTGAAGTGAGAAATATATTTAGTAAATCTTTGAATTACTTAGTAATCTATGCTCTATAGAGGAATCAAAATCAGGACAAAGACCTGGGCTCTGCTGTAGGTTGCATTATTGTAGGAAGAATAGGCAGCAATATCCATAGATGAAGTTGTCTCATGCGACAGTAAGACTGTAGTTTTTAATGGACAATTTCCACCTTCAGTTGGATTTTTTTCTGAAATTTGCTGTTAAAAGTTTTCAGCTAGTGCATGGAATGAGGTCAAGTGAAGGGAAGTAGAGGCAGAAATGGGGGGGGGGTTAAGCCATTTATAAAGATTCTTAGAGTTATTTGAAAAGCCTTCAATCTCCATGTGGTTTTTGGATCAGAGGTATCTGAGATGCTTCACGCTCTAATTGTCTCCATTGCCATCTCTATGTTTCTTTAAAACAGTCATATTTAGCTAAGTCCTGTGCTTCTGAAAAGTGTTTTGTAGGTGCTTGACAGGTAATTCGACTCTGGCAGTTTAGTTGTCTGCAGAGAGCTTGTTCTGCTCTTGAGCAGCTCCTGCAACCTAGAGTTACAGAATAAAAGATTTGAAACCACAATACATTAACATAAGAGCAAATTACTTCCTGAAAATTTTAAAAAAACAACCTTTTTAATATATTTTTAAAATCACTAGTTTATAATAATATTTTTAATTCTTTATATGTTGTCTTTTGTATTTTGTAATGTGGAAATTAAGTTTTAAAATCCTTCAGTCCCCCAAAACCACTTAAAATAAGCACAGGAGAAGGAAATTACTTTCCTTCTTAATTTTGCCTCACCACTTACTACTCAAATGATAATAAACTGCACATGACTTCATACAAGACTATTCACACAATCACTGTGAAATTCTATGCATTCCTCATGGAACTATGCATGCTGACTGAAAATGGTGGATTTTCATTTCCTGCAGCCTAATCATGTTATGCTCAGTTATGGTTACTCTAAGCCTTAGGTCTGAATTTTTTGATACATGCATACGCTTTGGTTTTATGGAACACAAATTGTTGTGTTATGGTTTATGGAACGATGTATAGGAAGTGAGACACATGTAGGCCTTGTCACAGGTTGGCACTTGCATTTTATCTTGGTATTAGTTATGTGTGCAAGCAGACTCTTGTATACAGACTATGCAAACAAATAAGAATTCTTTAAAGCCAGGACGTTTATGTTGTTCTACTTTCTTAGTAGGGTGATTGCAATATTGATATTAAGTACTTTACAGATGCAGGATGTGAGTGTGGTAGTTAAATTTTTAAACAATGTTTTGTATACTTTAGTAATGTTAACAGCACAAAATCATAGTAGAAATGTTTAGATTTGAAAATGTGGTTCCACTTAAGCAATTTTAGAAAAATAATTATATTTTATTTTTTTTTTCTTCCCAGCATAGATCCACTTGTTGGTATTTTTGAACAGAACAAGAGAATATTATTCTCCATTTCTCCTAAGTCTCTGCTTGATAGCATTGCAGCTGCTCCATTTCAAATAGAAATAGTTTATGTGTAATCAAGAATGCTAGGCTTTTAAAACCTGAATACTAACATAGCCTGTCACTGAATCACTGCATCTGTATCTGTACTATATCTTTTAAACCAGTTAAGGGGTAGATGATGTGCTGTTAGGAGCTGCCTTTTATGGGAATTTTTGAAATGTTTTCTAAAATATGTTATTTATGAAAATTCTTAACCTTAAACCATATTTTGATACTCTATATGAAGAGTCTTTTTTTCATCTCAGGCTGACATGCATGGTACTCTGACCTTTGTATTGATTCCCAGTCAGCAGAGCAAGCCACCTCCTGCAAAGGAGACAGTTGTAAGTAGCTCCACCTAAGTTCTTGAGCTTGGTGATACATATCTTGTTTTTCAGTAACGTGTAGAAAGTTCTTCTGTAAGTCATTTACATTATGGAACAAAACAAAACTTAATGATTTAAATTGGTTTAATTGATACCAGGCTAACACCTGAATTAACTATTGAAAATGGTGTTAAGCTGAAACTCTTAGTATGATTTTTAACTCAGTTTCTAAAATAGTAAGAAATTGTAAAAGTAGAACTGTCTGTGCTTCTGAAATTCTATTTTGAAATTCTCAATTTATCTATTTTTTTTATATATATATAAAAAAAATTAGATTG